AAAAAAATGCTTCTAATGTCTAACTTTGTGATAAAAGCAAGGAGGAAGAATTTTCCAGATTACAGAACTCAGGGAAAAGAATAATCTTCCAAATTTCAAGAAAAAGTTAGTAAACCAATAAATTCACTGTTCACAGATTAGAAACTATATAATAAAATAAATGCTATATAGTGCTCTTTCAAAAATAATAGGTAAACAAACAGAAAACAAGTAGGAAAGAGGAAGAAAAGAAGCGAGAAAGAGAAACAGCACTGAAAAGCAGAACTGGACAATGTTGTATATTGATTCATTAACTTAAACTGAAACCCAACTTTGAGTTGGAGAGGAAAAATCAAAGGTATACTCATATCAGATTTCCTGTTCTATAACCTTTTAAAACTTTGTTTTATAAATACACATAGTGTATGTATCAAGAACAAACAATGGAGCAGCTTTTATGTTGTGCAGAAACTTTGAACCATCAGTAAATAATTATACGTAGTAGCTCCTACTCTAAGATACAATTTTGAGCACAGTGACCAAGATTTATGAGTGTGGAAATGGTTGTAAAAGCCTAGTTAAATGTTACACTGTAACCAATTTAACTACAGCTTAGCTGGGCACAATTTATGGGTTTGGGTTTGTTTCCATTTCAAGTAAGAAAGATTTATATTCTAATAGGCTTAGAAAGACCTACTGGATTATGTGTCCACAAATAATAGTCAAATCACATAAACCTGCTAAGCTAAAGACTAGCTTCCAGGATATCATTATAATTTCCTAAACCAGGGTCAATACTGTTGTGACCCTCTCTGGTGAATTAGGTACGAGTTTCTGGGCTCTCTTCACTATAGGAAATAAGTTAGCTACCCTGTGTGTTGACTTTCCAAATTAACTAGATTAATGCTAGAAAAGGAAAGTCCGAGAGTCTTTGAAGTGGTTTCTAAGGTTTTACTTTATTTCCAAATGTATAAAAGTGGTCTTTTTCTGTGGATTATCTTTTTAACATTACAGGGAAAAAAAATCTCATGAATTCAATATGCTTACACAGTAGTGACCTTGGTTATATGAGATTGACCTGGAACTTTATAATAATTTTGATATAAATAAATCCTTAACAGTATATCAAAGATTCTAGGAGAACAAGTTCCCCAATGTATTTGACACCTTTGGAAGTTTAGGTAACTGCCATCCCCCCATCCACAGAATACAGAAATATATTCCTAATTTTCCATGCAATCCCTCATACACATATTCATGGCCACACAAAATTGGTTGCTCAGATTCTTACTCCTGAGAATTTAGAATCAGATCTGAAGACTATGTCAGTCTGTCTATTCTCAGTGTATCTACATCTCTCTAGTGTCTATGTCCCAGACTATTCTTTGAATACAGGCAGGCAATAGAAGCTAATTTTCTGAGAAAAAGAAAGAAGCAGATGTGTGGAAAAGAGAAGAGACTATTCCCCATAATTCTAGGTCCCCCTTTGGGTCTGTCTGCATGCCAACCCTTGAGTTCATGAGACACACTTTATAGTATTAGCTTTTTTTGGCTAAAGGAAACTCTAGTAAGTTTCTGTTACATAAAAACAGAAGTTATAGCTTTACAAAATGAGTCCAGGGAAAGTAGTATGCAGACAAAACATAAATTTTAACAACCAAATAAAGTAAATGCATCAAAGTCACAGACTGATGCCTCAAGAGAATTATAATATATATGCTAAAATAAGATCTAATATATATGACATAAATTACCATTACTATTTATCATAAAATCACTACTAGAAGGAATAGGAGTGGACTGACAAGTTTAATTTGGTATATAAAGAAATTAAACAAATCTGTGATCTAGCTTCCCTGAATTGCTTTGTAGCACCCTTGGAATAATTTAATAAATTTAATAAATTCCTTCATGATACAGAAGTGGGTTCTCCCCAACACCCCTGGAATTGAACCCAGGAGTGCTTTACCACTGAGATACATCCCTAGTCCTTTGTTTTATTTTTAAAACAGGGTTTTGCTAAATTGCTGATGATCTCAATAAATTGCTGGCCTCTAACTTGTATTCCCCTTACCTCAGCCTCCAGTATCACTGAGGTTATAGGAATGCACCACGACACCCACCTCAAGCAGTTTTCTTTCTTTCTTTTCTTTCTTCCTCTCTTTCTTTTATCAGGGGTTAAACCAAGGGGTGCTTAAAAACTGAGCCAAGTCTCCAGCCTTTTTGAATATTTTATTTTGAGACAGGGTCTCCCTAAATTATTTAGGACCTTACTAAATTGCGGAGGCTGGCTTTGAACTAGGGATCCTTCTGCCTCAGCCTCCTGAGTTACTGGGATTACGGCATGCACCACTGTGCCCAACAAGTAGTTTTCTTAATGGAGAAGAAAAAGGGACATCACAGACCCACGTGTGTGTGTGTGTGTGTGTGTGTGTGTGTGTTGCTGAAGATTGAACCCAGGGGCTGGGAATGTGGCTCAGGCGGTAGCGTGCTCGCCTGGCATGCGTGCAGCCCGGGTTCAATCCTCAGCACCACATACCAAAAAAGATGTTGTGTCCGCCGAGAACTAAAAATAAATATTAAAAATTCTCTCTCTCTCCCCTCTCTCACTCTCTCTTAAAAAAAAAGATTGAACCCAGGACAATGAAATGTACCACTGATCCATGCCCTCAGTCCTTTTTGAAATAGAGCCTCGGTAAATTGCCCAGGCAGGCCTCCAGTTTGCTATCCTCCTGCCTCAGCCTCCCCAGTTACTGGGATCACAAGTATGTGCCACTATGCCTAGCTGGAGTTTGTTTTTTTTTTTTTTTTAACACCCAACAAGCCTATATTTCCTCTATTTTAAAGAGTTGTGTTTTTTAAATTTTTTTCAGTTGTAGATGGACACAATATCACTATTTTTATTTATTTAATGTGGTGCTAAGACTCAAACCCAGGGCCTCACACGTGTGAGGCAAGAGCTCTACCACTGAGCTACAACCCTAGCCCCAACTGGAGTTTTTCATAAAAATGAATACAGTAGATATCTGCTTCCAGGAGGATGGAGTAGATATATCTATACTATAGATATAGATGTATAATGTATTTTATATATATATATATATATATATATTTTTTCTTCCTTCTAGAGACAACTGAAAATTAGGCATTACACACAAGACTCTGAAAGGTAAAGAGAAGGAGGTTTAACTGCTGAGGGACCTATAGATTTAAGGAATGGCAAAGTGGTAAATTCTCTGGGTTTCACTTTTTCCTTATATCTCTAAGACTTAGAGTTTAAGAAGCTGACAACCTGGAAATGCCCAAAATCAAAACCAAA